CAGCCCTTGCATACGTCGAGACATGTTTAATTTACGCTCGGTTTTGCGGAGGGCCAAACGAGCTCCTATATTGCAATGCGCTGCACAAGTAACCCCTCGGGGTAAAGCATGAAGAAATAATGTGAAAAACCGCATGAAATGAAAATTACCTTTCATCAATTATAAAAATAGGAACGACTCGTTGTCTGCACAAAAATTTGACTTGAGAGAGAAGAATTCTTTCTGTACAAAATACACTCTTTTAATTTGTTTTTGTTTAATATGCTGTCTCGTAATTTACTATTTAGCTTTAGTTTGTGATAAAGGCAATTTTTTCGAGACAAAACTTTAAAATTTACGGGAATAGCTGTAAATATTAATTGATATACAGTGTGCCCCATTTAAAGCACCCCAATTAAGACCGAACCAAAAGATTTTTTTCATCGGGGATCGATGCCTTCCTTCCCTTAGGTTCTTTTGGACAGGAGATTTTCGCGAAACAAGATTTTCAAGCTGCCTTCGCCTGTATATATGTATATGGTTTATGGCAGCACATTGCGCTTACCGGGCGAATTCTTTCATGGTTTCCGCAATGTAGTTGTGCAGCAATTTGCTCAGCAGCTTCAAAAAACGGTTCGTAACTAAACGGGCCACATATCTCCTACGTGATTCCACATTTGTCTTAGATATACGCAAAATGTGACAGTTTTGCTGGGGGAAAAAGTCAATTCTTTTCTTCCTAAAAAGTTTTATTCTCCAACTATTTTGGTTATTTTATCTAAAAGAAACTTAACAGGGGTTTAGAGTCATTTTAACCATATATAGTGTCACAAACATAGTCCCTTAATAAACTAGAAACAAAGACAAAACGTTTCAGAGGTTTTTGTTGAATTCGTACTCATTGTTCTCACCTATTTTGTTGGTATATCCTGAAATAATGAAAATTCATATTTATAACGGTTGAAATAAAAAAACTTAAATTTTACCTAGTATCCCAAAAATATTTGTTAACATCTGTGATCTAATGTAAAAATGTTGTGTAGAAACAAATTAATGACAGATTAGTATAATAACAAATTTATTAATATTTTTATCTAAGGTTTTGGTTGAAATGAAAAAGCTAGTATCACGAGCGGGATTCGAACCCACGACCTTCGGCTCAATACGCCGCTGCTCTAACCACTTGAGCTATCGTGATTTCGATCCTCTCGGACACCAACTCATCTCGACCGAAACCGTTCGAATTTTCTCCCTTTTTGCTATTTTTTTCAAATGTCGTGAAATCAGAATTCCATTTTATGAAGTGGCCACGGGGAGTTGTTAGCGGTCATTACTTCTTTTATTATTATTATTTGTTTAGGCCTGAATTTAAATGGTATATTTGTTTTAATTTAAGTTAGTTTGTTTGGTCTCGTTGCCATGGGGAACGAATGTTTATGCCTCCCGTTGCTATGGGAACCAAATGTTACGCTTTCGGTAGCCATGAGCACCAGTGTTTACACGTGATTGTGATTTGTTTTGTATTTTTCATTATCATAGAAACGCCCCTTCTTTTTTGGTCAAGTCCAGTCAACTGAACCAGTCGCGTCTCAACCGCCAAGAAGACAGCATACGCTCTGTTTCTTCAATTTCTATGTTTTAGGCAGTAATTTTGAATAAGTTATTTTGTATTGTGAATCGATAGTTCAACGTTCTGTTCTGTTCAACAATACGGGCGTTATTATTATTATTATTCGTCCGCCGCACTACAATCAGTTGTGTTCTGTCTTGATTCACAACGACCGCACGCCTGACATCTTCCCGCACGGCTGCATAAGTGGACCCGACTTCATCAGTCTTTCCCGCACAACCGCAACGCCACATCGCGTTTATACATCAAGAGTACTCACAAGTGAACTTTTAGCTTAATTTAAATATACATTTTTTTTTGTATTTTCATTCTAACTTAGTTTTTCTTTCTTTTCTAAATTCATTGAAGAGCTCTTCCGTTATTTCTCTATTTAATTAATTATTTTAATTTAAAACATACTATAATTTTATTTGCTAGTATTATTATTATTACAATAAGAAACTAACTTTGTTTACTTTTGCCGTAACTTATCTGTCTTTTCTTATAATATATTTGTTATTTATTTTATATAACATTTTATTTTGCATGTTATTGCCTATTGACCCTATCTTAAGGATTTTTAATATACAGAAGCTCTAGATCCAATCAGGTGAGTGATTTGTGTGGCAAAGTGTCGTAAAATAAATCTGGCAACATATTTGGGAAAAAGATTACCTCCCACAAACGGACGAGGTCGCTGAACACCCAACATTATTATTATTATTAATGTGTGGAGATTAGTGACCGTTAATCGATAATTATTCAGATATGTTTAGTGTCATATTTGACCGTATTAATTATTTCAATTAATTAATATTTTCTTCTCAACGAAGACTTTAGATAAAAAGATTAATTAATATTGAACTAATTAATATGGTAAATTATGATCTAAACATATATTGAACATTATAATTATAAAGTTGTTGTAAAAAAGACATATCCTTTACCAACTCCTATAAGACTTACAACATTGAAACAGATAAAAAACAGGCATTAGAGATCAATACATACGTTTAAATTTTTGTCCTCTTGGGTATCGTTATTTACGAAACTGAACGCCTTAGTTTTGTCTACACCGATCTGCATTGCCTCGTTATTTGTTAGTTGCAACATGGATTCCATGTGAGGGTAAGCTTGGTATTTTTTGAAATCCAAATTTTGGAGGTTAAATTGGTTGGAACATTGGAATAAGCAACGCGATCTGTGCAACATGAATTGAACAATAATCCACATATCCAAGACGACATAACACGCAGTGTGTAATCCACAGACTCCAGAAGCGTCTTGTTTTCATTCCTATTATGGATTTCTACTAAGCATTGTTTTCGAAAGATAAGCACAAACAGTCAGTTTCGCAGATATAAGTGACAAATCGCGTTTTTCTAAAAAGTTTTATTCTCCAAACTATTTTAACATTAGGGTTTAAGATTACTCTAATGTTATTTGCTTAGAAATTCTAATAAAAGAGTTCACAAAATAATCCGAAAGGGAGTATCGGAAAGAATCAAAACTTCATTTTCTTCAAAGGATTTCAATCGAGTCATTTTTAAACTAAAACCATCTATTCAATTTTTTCATAACTTTAGCATTCAAAAAGATCCTTTAATATTATTAATCACAAACAGAGATTACGAGAAGGATCTGGGTAAAGAAAGTTATTATTAATAACAAACGACTTACTGGAATACAAGTAATAGGCGTCTAAGTTCAGAAAATAAACCAATTGAATGAATCAGTGAAAAATTAAGACAGAAGAAGAAATTTGTTAAAGGTTTGATTGAGAAACGGATGTAAAAAGAATGAATCAGCCAAAACAAACTGTGAACTAGCACTATCCTAAGAGAAGAAATAGCAGAATATCAAAAGAGTAATAAAAAAGGGGATAGAACGGAATAAATGGCTGGGAAGATAAGGATCTCTCGCGAAGATGAGTTTTTGAAGGTAACCCTACAGGAACGCCTAAAACAATATCTTATACAATACAGGATAGTTCAAATTCAGGTAGATCTTTTAAAATTTACTATCTGTTACTAAATACTTCCACTACTTACAAATAAATAATACTAAATCGTACATTTGAAAAACATTACTTTTCGGTTTTGACAATTTTCGGTTTAGATGAAGTTTTATCTATCCCTCTTTATTATTTTTAACCAATTACTTTTTTTGTATAATGATTTTCTGACATTATTGTGAGTGTATGTCAAGGTTATTATTATTTAAATTAATAATACTTTTGATCTAAACTCTTGGTCTTGAACTTTTAGGTGGACGAACAGATATCGGAGAAAATCAAATTTCCTTCAGTTGGTTAATTAATCCCTAATATCGCATAACAAAAGTGACACAGCTCAAGAAAATAAAATTTTACAGGAGAGGCAGGAAGATGACTTTTTTGACTAATGCATTAAGCCACACCATTACAGTTGTTGGCAACAAAAACAGTCATGATCCATCTATATTATCTTTCGCTTGTCCAAGACTTACGAATAAACAAAAAACTTTAAAAATCCAGCTGTACTACCTCTAAAAAACTACCGCTTTTTGGGGTGTGACACTTTTCTTGCATATATTGGCTCTCAGTAATTTATGTCAGTTTGTTTGCTTTAACGATAATGGTAGTCAATGAATGACTGTAAGGGTATTAATTTTTTGTTTGATAGTAACAGACAACATGCAAACCTAACAAACAAGTATAAATATCCGTTTCAAAACACATATTTGTACAATTGGTTTAACTTGTAAAATTAATACAAGCTCTGATAACGACCTTTAAGTAGGTCGTAGGGTTGGCAGTAACAACTAAATTTGCTTTTATTATTCAAGACCTTGAGCCAGAGGGTTTATGAGTAAAGAATTGGTTGATACTTCTAACTTTGAAAACTAAAATTAGTACTAGTTTGCTCTCACAATGAAGAGAAACGCAGCAAAAGAAACTGAGCATTCATGCTTCCCGGATTTACTGTGAAATCCGTCGAGCCAGAACTATCAGCATTATTAATCTTACTTTTCTTCTCATTGCTCGTTATCAAAGTGCAACGAGAAGATTTACTATCCATAATAACACTTCGGCCTAAAGTAGTACCAAAAAGTGGAATTTGAAAACTGACAGACTTTATAGTATTACTGACGGCAGTACCCTTCTTGTTGGTTGTCAACGAATTTAGAATCAGTTTGTCTACGTGATGTACCATTTTTACAAATATTTAAAATATATATATAAAATGTGCAAATAAACTCTAAATCATGAATGTATAAGTACTGGAAGTTGCGATCCCTTGAAAAGCACGAGTATTATGTGTCGGTTACTATAACAACAGTAAGTTATTCCGGAGCAGCATAAAGTCCGTCACTAAAGAAGAAGGAAACTGACCCAATTAGGAATGTGCTATTTTTCTTGATAAATACTTACACGATGCTGTAAAGCTCGACACAGAACTACGGTATGCCACTTTTCGCGAATGGAGACAGTGGGTTTCCGCCAATTCAAAACGGTCGCACGATGCTGCCTAGCACCTAAGAGTCCACTTACCTCATTATCCGTCCACTTATCATCACTCACCTGAATATTTAAAAAAATATATAAAAAATATTAAAAAAATAAATAATAATAAACCGATTTTTAGAATTTTTTGACTTGTATCAATTTTGCTGTGGGTGTGAGATACGGATAATTTTTTTAAAGATACTGTTCAGAGATAGAAATGTTGCTTAAACCGATTTTTTTCTCTTTATTTATTTTAAAAATGCATACAAATTTCAACAATATATATGCCGTAATTTTTTTTTTAATTTTTTTAAATTTTTTTTACGAAGGTTCACAACATCAAAGGCCATATAAATCCTCAGGATGTCGGTGTTTTTGAAATAAAACGCATTTGTGCAGGGATGCAGGGCCGCTGTATTCGAACCCGGGACCTTTACCTTACAGTAAAAGTTGACCCGTGTCAACGCCTAAACCGTTGCGGCCACCGACGCCCCCGAAAGCATCCTATTATTATTACAAATTTTAACAAGAAAAATTATAGAATTTACAAGGATATGTACACATGCGCGCAAACACACACACAATATTGTATGCATATGTTTATGTCTGGCGTGAGTGTTTGGAACAAATTTGAAATGATTTTTTTAATACAATGGTTTTGCCTACTTTACTCAACAATCCTGCTTATTCTTTCTCTTTTACTTATTGCTTACGCCTAATACTCGAAAATCTAAATTGATATAAATAACCTTAAAAAACATTCACGATAAAGGCAGAAAACAATATTTAATTAATTGTTTTTAATTTTTTGTCACGTGTGTAAATATTTGTTTAGCCATTCTTCAAAAAACATTTCATTAAAATAGATGATCCTACATCAGTAGGCCTACTCTCGTAACTAAAATATTTAAGTATTGTAAATTAAAACGAAAGTGAAATAAAATATCATAACTGTACTATTTATTAATAAAGTTGTGCTGGACCGCGGTGGCCGAGTGGTAGGGTGTCCGACCCTTATTTGCCACTAGGGATCCTGGGTTAGATATCGGCGTAGCCCATGGTTTTTTAATCAGTATGAAAAATGTATTGAAAAGTAGTTATGTGGGTATGACGGGAATATTCTTTCTAAAAAGTTGGCAATATTTCTTTAATTTCGTTTCGCAGTTAATTTTTCACTAAATAATTACGCGGGATTGTCACAAACGGTAAGCCAGGTTGACGCGAAAGGTAAATCCATGGGGGTTTTACAATGGCCAAATTCACCCCAGCAGCAAAAGTGGCCATAAATAAATAAGGGGACAGGACGGTCGGAACGGTTTGTTAATGATTCATGCTTTGCAATTGTAGAAACTGCCTGTGTCAAGCAGTATGGGATTAATTAATTCTAGATATAATGATAGAAAAAAGAATACATTTTAATTATATTTAAAATCCAAACGTGATATGTCTGCACCAGCAAGACATTTTTGAGTTCGACGACATCTGGGGATTTTTCAGATACTATCGCTTAATCTATTATAAAAGTGTATGATTCATGAATAAATAAACACGAGTAAAATCATACTTTCAAGGAGAAACAACAGTAGTGGGCTCAACGATATTAATCAAACTTTTTGGTGGTGCTAAATTTAAAATGATCCGAGAAACGCCCGAGAGTTTTTGCCAAAAAGAGAGGTAAGAATATATTTAAGTTGGTTAAATACTTCTTTTAATATGATTTTCTACCTTTTCTTTATTTCAAGTTTGTTATATATTAGGTGATTTGATGGGTTTTTACGTAGAATAACAAAATAGGATGCAGTATCGTATTAGAGACACAAAATGTTACACAAACTAACAAATACTATTAATTTGTACCCCATAAAACAAAACTATTTTAAGTGATTTACACATATACCTACTTTTTATCTAAATATGATTTTCTGCCTTTTTGTGTATGTATTTCAAGGATATTAGATATCAGTCAACACAACGTTATAACAACGTTGCTGTTAGTAAGTAAAGCAGAACAAAGAAATTAATTTGGAACTGAGAAAACATATTTTTAGTAATTAACGTACCTACTATTTCTGCCTTTTTTGTGCATTTCAAGACTATTTCATATAAGTCAATTTGTTTTTTTACTTATTTTCAACATTGGCAAGCATAATAGGACATGTGTTTAATATCTTTTGACTTAGTATCACAAAAAATCATTAACATCGGTGATCACATGTCTGTGCAATAGCATTTGTTAGTGTTCGTCAAAGAAATACTAATATAATCTCAAGTGATTTAGTCTTGAAAGAATTCACATGTGTTTCCTAACTTTTGCGATCAGAACGGTAGAATAAATCAAGTGAAATAATACAAATGCTTTCATACTATGCTTCATAATATAAAATGTGTAATTTATGTACTATTTACGTAACGGGGCGTCAACCCTGTAATCGTTTTTCACACCGGTCCGCTTTGCCTCGCTGTTTGGTGGTGGCCAGACGTATTTTTGCACCGGGGTCGATTGAAGATCACCGTGACAAAACGTCAAGCCCATTTCTAGTCAGCCTAAAGCCCGTTTGGTTTTCGGAAATTGGATTGACGCGGATTACATCAACATTATCGATCAATGGAGTCGTTTACACAAGTGTTCTATAAAAAAGGAGTCTTTTAAGTGTGTGAGTTGTTTGTGTTTTCAAAATCGCTGGGCAATAACTTATATTTATTAGTTTTTCTTCTAAAAAATACAGAAAAATCTTTAAATTTATATAGTTTTATCTTCATCAGTGGCTTTTTAATATTACATTCACAATGCGAGATGTTTAATTCTGCGAGTTGGCTTTGAAACATGAACACGATCATTAAAGAATCTTTCATGGAAGAGGAACCTCATCTCTGCCAACTTACACTTCACAACATATTAACTTTTATGCTGTAATTTTGTTTCTTTGTAGATTGGGTCATTTTTATAGAGATTTCAGATTTTACATGGATTTTTCTAAATCGAGATATCATGAACATTGAATGATATTTGATCTTTTTTTAAATTTAGAATGTCCGAGAAAGATAAATAACAAAACATTCTTCATCCCTTAATCCCGAGGGTTGTTAGGGTAGTTGTTAATATATGTTCAATACAAATATCATAAAATTACTATGGGCAAGTAATCAAATATAAGAACATGCTGGAGATTTTCAAAATTAAAAAATTAGCTGTATAATTTTCCGTTTTTTTTCCAACGATCTCTTTTTTGTGTGGGTGAAAATAAATATTATCAGAAGCACGATGAAGCGATTATTTATCAGAAAAAGGAGCTGTGGGCCTAGTTCAGTTTGCTCCATCAATCAAGTTTTCAAACATCTTGATTTCAGGATTCCAATATCTGGGCCCTTGTAATGGACGTTTTTCTCCCCTATTGACGAGGTGGAAGTAATTCTCCCAAGAATGAGTACATTTTTAAGGAAAAAGTTTTTTCTTTTCTGCTGACACGTCGTATTTTCTGTGATTAAATCGGTTGTTGCAGCACACATATGGATGGTTTTTTGGTGGGAGAGAAATACAGCAAATTTTGCTGTAAATGGGCAAAGATTAAGGAAAAAGGAATTAAATTAATCTAATTGATAATAAAATCACTACATGTCTGCCATTTTAATATTTTGCTAAATTTATTTATTCTAAAATAACTGTACTTAAACATTACAATCGCAACTATACGACCCACTAATATGATATTTCTTAAGTCCCAGTACTTTCAGTTTATTCATGATTTATCCATATTTCAACGTCTGGCTTTACCTCTCAATTACAAAACTATCCTGAGTTCAAATAATTTGCATGTTTACCCGTCAATTGAAAAACCTATGCAAAAAAATACAAGCGTTCGGTGTTTTATTTTTCCTTCCTCAGGGCTCTACAACATATACATAAATATGTATATCATTTCTGATTTGTCAGCCAGCTAAGTAAAATTAACTTATTGTTATAATCTTTCGATTAATTAAGGTTTTTTAGTTGAGATAAAAAAGTGAAATTATTTTTATAATTTACAGATTTTTAGTCAATATTTAAACATTTTCTTTTTTGACTTTAAAAACTTTTTGTCTTCTTTTTAAAACTAAATATAATGACTTTTAATAAATAAATAACAAGTTTTTACAAAATTTTACAATATCACAGAGTAAGACTTACATAAACAAAAAGTACTATGTATGTTACGTTGTTACTTCAAATTATTTGTACTTAGGTTAGTAGGTACTTAGTTTTGTAATTGAGAGGTAAAGCCAGATGTTGAAATCATGAATAAACTTCTGCAACTTAACTAATAACTAATAAAGAACTAGGACTTAAGAAATATAAACATATGTAGTATGTTACTTTCAAATTCTGTTTTATCTGCCCTCGTTTGGGCCTTGTACAATAAAACCCTTATTTTAATTTTATTATAAATAAATAATTAATTTAAGACCTGTGTTACGCCTTTGTTGCATAATTTTGGTGTTTGACCGGGCTCAAATCTGGACTTCGAGCTGGCCGCACGAAGCACTCAGTTTCAACCACAATCAGGACTACTAATACGTGCTCTATGAGGTCTAGGATTATCCTGCATTAGCAAGAATTTCTCACCGATGTGTGGACAAATGGGAATACATGTTATTCGGTTATGCCTTGTACCTTTGTGAAGTTAGAGATCTTACTCGCACAACATCCAGTTCGGTGCGGGAGGCCAAATAAGTGACTCAAAACATCAAGGGCTCATCATAGATGCTACCTGCGGAACCATACCACATGAGGTATACCTTTCTCCTGAGCGTCTCCTTATGAAATTATAACCATCTAAATATTTGAGGCCATCTTTTACCTCATCTCAAAGAAAACTCGTTCCCATACTTGCAGCGTTCAATTTACTTGAACCCTTGCGAATGATCTTTTCAGAGCTGTGGTAAGAAGAGGTAAGAATAGAAGCCTAACACCGGGCCTTGAGGTTATTTTCAATTAGCCTTCTTCTTACAGTCCTGGAGGAAATCGAAACATTTTTGACTTTTCTTATTAGATTCCTTATATCCTTCCTCGTAATGATGCGGTTTTGTAGAACCTGTGACGGATGAATCTATCGTCTCTCTGGTCTGTACACTTAGGTCGACCCTGCCCTGGTCTTCTAGTGTGTGCCTTCTATCTCTGAAGCGCCAAAGAATCCTTCCCATTATAGATTGATTTACACTCATACACACTACAGCCTCCTGGCGACTTCGCGCTGGCTGTATTCTTCCTCTTATAATTTTATGACCCTGACACTGTCGTACTTACTCAAATACTTGACTGGAGCCATGGAAAAAGATTTAACAATAATAATATCAACTGAAATCAAGGAAGGAAAAAGATTAACTGAAAGCGACTTTTAGGCGTAGGAGAATGAAAGGGTATAATGCTACTTTTTGTGCAAATGGGATTAATCAGTGCAAAAGTTAAAAAAAACGAATTACCAAAACATTACTTACTGTTTATTTTGAATAAGATAGCTCCCAATTACCTTAACTAATGTTGAAAGATGATTGATTTAATTATAAATTAAATAAATTGAGTGGTGCGTTGAATGTGTGTATTTGTATTTGTGATCCCATTAATTTAGAATCCCACTGAGTATTTAGCGTAAACTATTAATGTCTGACTGTAAGTTGCAAGCGTTGTGATCATTAAAAATGTACATCATTTATGTAAGTCTACGGCCTTGGTGAGGTATCTGTGTGATGACTTTTACCTCATCAAATTTAACCTGCGGGTTTTTTCATGCCAATGTTTTGACAGACCAGCACCTGCTCTATTTTTATCTTTATAATCATAATTATAAAGATATGATGATATCTTTTCTGTCAAGTTCATGTCATTTTATATAATAACCACTGAAGCTATTTGAAAGAGGTTACTTACATTTTAACTTTCTGAAGAATTTTTCTATATTTACTATTTTTAAGTTTTCACAATTTTTTCTAATGACGTATTTTGTTGATTAAATGTGTGATTTACATATGTTAACGGTCTTAAAATCTCGTAATATTTTTAGATACATCAATGGTGGTAGTAATTTGGTTCTTTGGTATACCAACTTTTAAATTAGTGTTAATGGATATCTATTTTACTTCCGTAGATTCTTTATTTTTGTTTTGTTTTCGTTATCCAACTTATAATTATTGTCACGTAGTTTGATTTCTCTATCAATCAGATTATACACTATGATTGTCTCTTTTTGGAAAGTATGTTCTGATGAGAAATGAAGTAAATACTCTCTCTGTATACGTAGGTTTCTGATACAAATTCCTAACAAGTTGAGTGTGCTCTCTAGTGATCAATAAATCTAAAAAAGGCTCCATTTACTTCAGTTTCAAATGTAAATTTCAATGATTAGAGGAATTGAATGCATTGACTATATTATTGAGGTCTTACTTTTGTACTGTCAAAAACAGGTCACTTACATATTTTATAATCAATTTTATTGTTAAAGTTTTGTAATTAGTTTTACCCAATTAATAAATTCATGGGAAGATGAGAGAAATTGGACCACATATACTTACACCCTGTATCTATTCATATACTGTATTTTTGTATTTAAAATATCCACTTCAAACAACATCTTACCAGGCCATCAATTTGGCTTTCGAACTACCCATTCCACCACTCATCAACTTCACAGAGTTAAAGATTTCATTACTTCAAGTCTCGAGCAGAAACTGTACGCGACTGGAATGATTCTAGATGTATCTTAGCTCTTCGACAAAGTATGGCATAAGGGACTATTATACAAATTAAAATTATTTTTACCCCCGGTCTATTATCTGATTATACGATCATACCTTAAGGAGAGATTTTTTGCAGTAAAACAGGTTACGGAGACTACTGAGATATAAGAAGTGTTTGCAGAGGTGCCATAAGGGTCAATACTCGCTCCGCTGTTGTACACAATTTTTACTTCTGACATGCTCACAAATGAGAATGCACTTACCGCCACATACGCAGATGACACCTCCATATTAACAAGTCATCCTTATTCACAAGCTTCACTTATGTTACAAAACAAGATCAACAATAGAAAAATGGAACAATCTTTGTAAAATAAATTTTTGCACC